GTGAGCAGGGCCTTTGTACCGATTTTTCATTTCGAGATCGACAAAAGCTACAGGGCTGAAACTTTGGGGAATTAATCTACATGCACGTATGGGCTCCCATCCCCAAAATGGGCGGTCTTACTCGCGTGACACCACGTAACAGCCCGCCAAAGTTTTTCACAGATAAGTTGCTAACTCGCGAACCAGAAGCTAGAAAGTTGAAATTTTAAGGGGATGTTCCCCTTCCAAGTAGGTATTAATAAACTCAAACCCAGCTCCCGGATAAGGGTGGTATCCGCGTACGAGCCAGCCAAATTTTTTTCGGGTAGGTTGATAACTCACGACCAGAAAAGCTAGAAAGCTAAAATTTTAAGAGGATGTTCCCCGTCCACGTAAGTCTAAATGAGCGCAAACCCAGCGCCAGGCAGGCGTGGTACCCACGTACGGGTTCACCAAAGTTTTTCTCGGGTAAGTTCATAACTCGAGAACCTGAAAAGCTAAAAGACTGTAGTTTTAAGAAGATGTTCCCCATTCAAGTAAGTCTCAACGAACTCAAATCCAGACATCGGGTATACTGGTCCCCGCGTGCGGGCCCGTGAAAGTTTCTTCCCGCGTGCGGGCCTTTGGAAGTTTTTTTTCAGAAGCCAGGAAAACTAGAAAGCTGGAATTTTAAGGGGGTGTTTCCTGCCAGTTCTGGCGGCTACTCTTAATTTGTTAAGCTAGAAGCATTTGCCAAAAAAACGATGCCGGTAGCGACAAAAACTGCGGGGAACTATGCAAAAAACACATCTTCGCACAGGCCGCCTGTGCGTTGGCGAATTATTTTTTCAACTGCCGTAAGACACAGAACTGCAAACTCCACTATCTAGCCCAGTTAACGGCTGAAAATCAAAAATCTAAAAAACCAATTTTTCCCAAAAATATCAAAAGCAAAAAAAGTAGGGGATTTAAAAATTGCAAACTTGCCATGCCAAAAAAATCAGGCTACATGGAACCTGAACCGTACTTCTGTTGCCTGCCACTTCTTGCCCTACCGGATAAAACTGTAATACTGTAAACAATTTATTTTGGATACCTGGGGCTCGATTCTTTGGTAATGATATGGGTTAATACAAATCAGTTGATTCTTGCTGTCATACGGATATAAACAATCAGGCAGCGGTTTAAGTTCATGATGTGACTGTAGATCAGGCCAGCGCCATACCCGACAATATATCACATGAGGAAGGCCTTTTCGATGCGAAACCTGCAAATTTAGCTGTTGACAGTCAGCAGAACAGCCGTATGTAAGTTGCGCCATTATCATATGGACTGCCCAGGCGGATTAGTCTCGTCAACTTATAAATATAAAACACATCGTTTATTTGAAATAAGAACCAATTTAATAATTGAGAAAGCTAGCGAGTTGAAGTTTTGCGAGGATGTTACCAATTCATGCGCGACCGCAAGCGTAAAAGCACGAAAATCAACTTCAGAAACCAGAAAAAAAAGGGAGTTGAAAGTTAGGATAATGCCCTCTATCTATAATCGATGTAAAAATTTCAATTCCTGCTGAAGTGAAAACGAATGAATAAATTTTGCTACAAATCAATGAATCAAAAAAAGACGCGATACTGAGGAGTGTCATTCTCTTCAGCTGTTGAGTTTCCATCATTCGCCAATTATTGACTAAATCGGAATATCTAATCAAATTATTTACAAATGAAGAATGGTGGTAAGGAAAAAGTAAAACCTGGAGTCTGCCGTCCAGCGATCGCGGTATTGTAACACATTTACTGTGCGATCCCGGATTAGCAAGCGCAAACTCAAGATCCTCAATGGTGCCCTGGCCAACTTTTTTCTTTTTCAACTTCTTAACAAGAGAATCCACTGCCTAAAGTAAAATAAAAAAGTTCACGTGAGCAAAAAAGTTACAGTTAAAACACTAATTCATACAAAAAGAATCGCAGAGATGACTCATTCATTAAACAGTTCTGACCTCCACAGCTTCGAAAAGCACGGCTTAAACGAGAGATTTATAGTGGAATGATAACTGACGTGCACGGACATGCACAAAATATAAATTACAAAATAAACATTTAAAGCTTATCAAAATACGAACTCACAAAATAAACATTCCAAAAAAAAAACTTATTTTTTAGCTCATTGCGTCATCAACTGCAGCTATAATATCTGCTGTATCAACA